TAGTCAGAGAAAGAGAGAGAAAGAGGAGAAAGAGTGAGAGAGATCAAGCACCTTTCAGTCCATCAGTGGCTTCTCTCTGCCATCCCGGATTCACAACAACCAAGCTCTCCTATAGGTTTCCTATTTTTGAAACTTCCGCCACCGGCTTGTGCGGTACTACTGGAATGTACAAGTGCAAAAAGGCAAGTGAACCCGTTCCCCCTTAACCAATGCCCCCAGGTCCCCCGAAATGCCCCGTGTCCCCAGATACAACCCTAAAAACTTGAATGACTTATTCAGTCGAAAGGCAAGTGACCCCGGGTCCCCCCTAACCAATGTCCCCAACTCCCTCCCTAACCAATGTGCCCAAGTCCCCCCTAAGTGTCCCGCGTCCCCGGGTCAAACCCTAAAAGGTTGAATGACTTATTCAATGGTGAGGCAAGTGGCCTAACCGATGTCCCCAAGACCCCCCCTAGCCAATGTCCCCAAGTCCCCTCTAAATGTCCCTTGTCCCCAGGTCAAACCCTAAAAGGTAATGACTTATTCAATGGTGAGGCAAGTGACCTAACCAATGTCCCAAGACCCCCCCAATGTCCCCAAGTCCCCCCTAAATGCCCCTTGTCCCCAGGACCCTAAAAGGTTGGATGACTTACTCAATAGTGAGGCAAGTGACCTAACAAAATGTCCCCAAGTCCCGGTCAAACCATAAAAGGTTAAATGACTTATTCAATGGAAAGGTTTGTGAGGTAGGGGCGAATGTGACCCTAGTTGGGGTAGGGGCGAATGTGACCCTGGGGTAGGGGCGAATGTGACCCGTCCCTCCCAGGTGCGTGCCCGAATTCTTCATTTGCCCTTTGCAATACATATTACATATTCGTTTGTGTTTGAACGGTTGACAAAAGTTGTGCTGAGACCCAGGATTTTACGTAGGCCCCGCAATTGACATGCATTCACTTTCTTTTGTTGTGTTCGTGTGAGGTGTACGGTCTCGAGTCCGTAGAGAAGTTTGTTTCTGACAATGGAATCATAAACTTGCAGATTCCATCTAGTAGAACAAAATGTTGTCTTCCAGAAGGTGTCCAATTTGAACCATGGTTTCCAACGTCTGGTGCATTTTGTGTTGTATCTTGTGTTTCACATAAATTTCCTGCGTGATTTCGTGCCCAAGGTAGATCGTTTCTTCCACTCTGTTCAATTTCTGCCCGTCTGGAAACTTGACCACATTGTCGTTGCTGTTCATAAAGTTCATAGATATGGAACAACATTTGTTCCTATTCAAACATAGGCCAAACTGTTTTGAAACTCCCCCAACTTCAGCTAACAATCTATTCGCCGCCGCGGTATTGATGGAAATCAAAACAGTGCCGTCGGCATAAAGAATTATTTGGACAGGTAATTTGTCGGGATTTCTCCTCTGGTATGCAGCGTCTAAGTTCAAAGCCACATCTCTATCCACGACGGACATACCAGTAAGTAGTACAAAATAATACAAATAGGTATGGCGATAGTGGGCAACCTTGTCTTATTCCGGCGAACTGTATCTTTGCGGTTGACATTCCATATTCATCCTCAACAAAAAAGAAAGCCTTCGCGTAACAATCTTTTAGTCACTTTAGTACCTCTACGAAGGTCTCATGAATTCCTAGTCTACGTAGTGCTATCCATAAACGACAATGCTGAACCTTGTCAAATGCATTCTCCCAATCTAAGAGAGGGCGGGGCTTACACGTGCTAAAGCAACAAGAACATAGCTTGATTTAGGGGAGCTAGAAAACATGACCACAATCATGTTTTGATTTTACCGCATTCAAGGGGTATGAACGTCCAGCTATACATCATTTATTCCCCAAACAGTGTACTGTTAGGGGTTCTTAATGCTTTCTAAGGTGTCCGCCTTGGTGTTGGATGGTGTGTCCGCCTTCCCGCGGGTCTTGTCTCCCCTTGTCTCCCCTTGTCTCCCCTTGTCTCCCACTGTCTCCCACTGTCTCCCACTGTCTCCCACTGTCTCCCACTGTCTCACCACATATGTGCATGTATTGGATGGTGTGTCCGCCTTCCCGCGGGTCTTGTCTCCCCTTGTCTCCCCTTGTCTCCCACTGTCTCCCACTGTCTCCCCACATATGTGCCTGTATTGGATGGTGTGTCCGCCTTCTCGAGGGTCTTGTCTCCCCTTGTCTCCCCTTGTCTCCCCTTGTCTCCCACTGTCTCCCACTGTCTCCCACTGTCTCCCACTGTCTCCCACTGTCTCCCACTGTCTCCCACTGTCTTGTCTCTGTGCCTGTATTGGATGCTGTGTCCGCCTTCCCGAGGGTCTTGTCTCCCCTTGTCTCCCACTGTCTCCCACTGTCTCCCCACATATGTGCCTGTATTGGATGGTGTGTCCGCCTTCTCGAGGGTCTTGTCTCCCCTTGTCTCCCCTTGTCTCCCACTGTCTCCCACTGTCTCCCCACATATGTGCCTGTATTGGATGGTGTGTCCGCCTTCTCGAGGGGTCTTGTCTCCCCTTGTCTCCCACTGTCTC